TTACTGAAAATTAATTGAAATATTTTATATTTGGGTTTGTAGGCTTCCGCGGCCGGAGTCAATGCATTCTTGGCTACCCGGGATACGCCGCGTCTCTGTCAATTGTGTTCTTCTGGGTCCATTTAATAATATTGTTTAAATCGTTTTAATTATTCTCCTTCGCTATTATGATATCACTGTGAGAAGTGAATAGTGCAATGTCATCAGCCCATAGAAGAATGTTGGAGCCACCTTGGATTGGAATGTCATGGCTGAAAATGTTAAATAGTAAGGAAGAGAGAACTGAATCTTGAAGACTTTTGTAATTCTATCATTTCTTTATGTATGTTGAACCTTTCTTCCGGAATCATGTTTTGGAATTGAGGAACTAAAGCACACATTACTTGAGAAACGATTGATAAGATTGGAATGTGTCCGGATTATAATCATCGTATTCACATATACTTCTTAATTTGTAGCGAGCGTTGTTGTTCCATTCCTGTCTCTCCAATTCTTGTAGTTTTCTCTTGATGCTGGCGCGATAGTTCTGTGGTATTATGGGAACGTTTCTTATTTCATCAAGTTGTGACACACCTTTTGCAGATCTGTCTGGCATCTCATTCTCGGTGATACATGAGCCGGGATCCATCCAAAAGCCATCTCTTTACCTTTAATGTTAGAGTTCCTTATCATATTAGCAAATATCAAATAGCAGACTGAGCCAATTTGAAGTCTGTTATATCAGAAATTTGTGTTCACTGTGCTATCAGAAATTTGCGTTCACTGTCTTCTAGAATGTAGTCTAGTGCGATGATGATGACATATAACTCGCTTGACAAAGCTGAGTACTAGTCGGGCAGTTTGATGCAAACAAGAATATTAAAAAAATACTCAAATCTATCAATAATACGCCAGACGTATATGCGGAGCATTCAGAAGTCCGAGGATAAGCATGTTAGAGGAAGTTAATTTACCGCCCCTGGATAAAAGAAGAAACCTAGTCGACAAACTCTTGTTGGCATTCCAACGGAACATCACACCAAGTTGCTACTCTGCCAAGAGCCATCTGCGTATTCTATGTTGTAGTTCTCCTACTCGGCTCTTATCTCTTGATAGTGCGTTTTTGACTTCTTAGAATTGTCTATCAGCTCCTCAGCTTTAATGATTTGCATAGTCCATGGTGAATAGTCAGTGATACTGATAGGTTTAAGCGAAGGAATGGTTTCTGATATTGTGCTTAGTATTTGTATATCCCGTACAATAATTGCTTTTGGTTGTTTCTTTTTAAATATAGTTTTTTCCTGTGTCTGTACGTAAGCCAGTAAATTTCGTTCGTAAAGATGCCGAAGTTTGCTATAACTTTAATTATATATCCCGACTAGGTTTCTTCTTTTATTCAGGGTCGGTAAATTAACTTCCTCTAACATGCTTACAGTGCACCACTGTTCACCGCGATGCACACTTCACAGCTCAGTTTCCCCTGCAGACTTCAAACTGTTGACTGCTGTGCCCCTACTACATCACTGTTTACCGCGATGCACACTTCACAGTTCAGCTTCCACAGAAGACTTCTGATTGCTGACTTCTGTTCAGCCACTGCACCAGTGTTCACCGCAATGCACACATCACAGCTCAGCTTCCACTGCAGACTTTTGACTACTACATACTCACACTGACGGACTGACTGCTTACTACTTCTACTACTCACTGACTGACTGCTTGTTCATTGACTACAAACACTGACTCTCGGCTGCTTATTTCCGACTGACAGCGGAAGCCGGAAGCCGTTTCAGCTCCTCAGCTTTAATGTTTTGCATAGTCCATGGTGAATAGTCAGTGATACTGATAGGTTTAAGCGGAGCGCTAATATAATTCGTTTATACCAAGCTGGCGCCCGTCTCGACACAATCGGCACTTGCTCCTCATTCCTACGCGACTCGCGAATAACCTGGAACCGTCCAGTTCGGGGGAAGGGCGGGCGCCGGCAGATGACGCAAGCCGCGCAGCGAATCCCGGCAGTAGATGCAATATTCGTTACAGTATATAATCAGTATGGCTTCAGGTATCTTAATGAGTGTTCCTGTATGAACACTTGTTTAAGGAAACTAAAGATATGAGTGAACTGCTCTTTACTCTTGTGCTTCTCTGTTAATTCATCTACAAACTGTTTATTGCTCAAAAATACACACTCCCTTATTTGAAAGGTTTGATCCATACGTGATGTGACTAGTCGGAACAATCGTTGCTAAAGCTTCTACGTACCTTTCTATATGTGTTCTGTGGTCTTTGCCTTCATTCAGAGTACATTGTTCCTTCTACATTGCGAACTACTCTATTGTAACTTGGATGGCCGGTCTGTTTCCTTCAACCGGCGTGCTCCTGTAATCAGGGGCCTGCCCTCGGATAGCCGCTTCGGTATCAGCCATTTATTTCCTGTTCTCCATTCACAATGAAAAACAGGTATGTCGTAATCAGTACAGTTCTATATACTGCAGTAGACTGCTCTCTTAACACTGACTGTTAAACTTCTTGAGTTCGATAAAAACACGCAAACTAGTAACAGACAGCGGAGCTATACTGAGCGGAGCACACGTTACCTCGACCACTGCTGCCGAACGAATGCTTAACATTGTTCATTTTCAGTGGAGTATGGAAGTGTTTATTTGAATTGAAAACTGCATTGAAATTGCTTTTCGTTTGTTTACAATTAATTTGTTATTACGTAACCATTTGTAACATCTGAGATTGTACTACTTACGGTTTGGATTCGTAGGCTTCCACAGCAGTTTTCGGAATCGAGCTCGATCGTCTGAGACGCCGCTCATTTCGGATAGCCAAGAATCAAATGAGACCGGAAGGCTAAGAATCCATCTAACGAACCACTACGGGGAGCGTATCTGTAAATGTACCAGACTACGCAGCCAACTGAGAATTGTTCGCGCCAAGAGGCTCTACAAACTCTTGCTGCACGTCATTCCCAAATTTCTGAGCTCGATCGACTAAGACGCGGCTCATTCCGGACAGCCAAGAATCTATTTACAGTTTTTTTGTAAAGAATTTCATATCATCAGAGAAATGTTCTTCCGTCTCGAATCGTTGACGGCATATTGTTTACTTATATTAGTAAGAGAACAGTGCCTAAATTCGATCCCTGCGGAATTCCATGTGCAATTAGCAAAGAATCGGAAAGTGTGTATATAATGTCCCATCATTCCAGTGCGGTATTTTTTTCTCCCTGAGAATTTGTTTAAACTACAAACATAACCAATCTAAAGCAATACCACAGATTCCGTACCAAAGTAATTTTGAAAGTAATATGTTATGACTAATGACGGCAAAATCTTTCGAAATATCTATCAAAAGGTGCCACATCCTTCACTTCTTAAAAATCTTATTTTACTAATGCAGTAGATTTAATTATAATCACTGAACATTTTTTGTAAATGCAAAATCATGTCAGATTATTGTTGTATCATGTCAGTTGATATACACCCACTCATGACAAAATGCGCTTAAAATTGTCTTAAGAGCTTATTTTCAAAATTTAGATTTTCCTCCCTGAACAGCTGTATAATACTGGTTTCATAATTGAGGTACCGGCATTGTATGCTGATATTGCGAATAAATGGTTGACACTTGTACTCCGGCTTAATTATTATAGTTTTTGCAATGCATGGGGCGTATACATCGCGCAAAGTACCTGCTAGTATGAGTAAGCGTGCTCAAATAGTTTTTGCCGCTTTGTGACGCGACGTACTCAGATTTTTCGCGCCCTTCTTCGTGGCCTTGGACCTGACCACGAGGGCGGTTGGGCGGGGGGGGGAGAGAAGAGTGGCACTTTGCGGCGGATGCTAGGGAAGTTGACACCGCCACGCACCCCGGTAAACAGATTGTGGGGGTGAACACGAAATGAAACATTTCGAGACAGTTTTCACAGAGCTTGCAAGGAAGGAAGACAAGGTTAAACGACGCCTGCCGGTTTTTCAGCGGTTTGTCGACCTGTCGACTGAGATGAAATGTGTATAGTAAATGGGTATTTCATAGTTAATCAGAGACACAATGCAAGATGGGAGAAAATAAATTGGCTTATAGAACAGACTATCAAAATCCAGTTCATTAATTTATTAGTATAGTAAAGTATTGTTTATTTTTAAATTTAGTAAATAATAATGTTGAATTAGTCATTGGTTCTATTTTTGGGAGCTCTAGTTCATCTTTATCAATTTATATTTTGTAGAAAAATAAATTTATTTGGAAATGTCCTTTCATATTTGTTTATTTTTAGTAATAAATCTAAGAGTATTTTGAATTCACATTAATATACAATATTATTTTCGAAATACGGCATGGACTGCCCTCTTCAGGCGAACAAGATATCTCTCTTTCACGAGAAATCCTTCTGAGGAAAATTAATTCTGAGTAAAAGAAACAATAGGCTTCTGACTATCGCCGAAGGGCTGTCAGAGAAAGTGGCCTGCAACAGAGTTCCGTGTTCCGCGAGCCAATGCCAACTTTCCAGATAATGAAGCAGATTTTCACGAGAAAGATGCGGGCTGAGCCCAGTAAACGCATTGGTAGGTCATTAATTAAAAAATAATTGTTATTAAAATATAGATACATCCATTTATTTATTGTCAAAAATATTTTTTTAACTTTATGGTATGAGAGTGAAGGGTTTTTAATCGATGTCTAGCAGTAATTCAAAACGAAATAAGTGATCTTCATTTTAATGTGTTTCTGCTTCGTATTTTTAGAAATCTAATTCTTCATTCTTTTTTATCCATTTGTATTCAAAATTCATATTCAAAATAATTATTTGACAGTTTGGAAAGTAGCTCGTTGTTGTACTGTTGTACGGCAAGAGACTTGTTAATTGCAAGACGATTCTGGTAAAAGCGATCTGAAGTGAATTTTCCTTGTCTCCACTGTCACCAATTTATCATCATGTAACTGCTCTCCACTAAGAACCAAGGAGTCTTGCATTATATTAAACGTTTGTCACAGTATTGGTTAACCTGTTATAGATTTCGTTTTTCAAAGCATAAAACGCTTTTACTCGTCTTTCAAGCCACGTCTCTATCTATCTAAGAAACAAACTACTAGCAGCAAGGTACATATCAAAGGTTTCATGCTAAAATATATTGCATTAGCTTACAAACCATTCAAAACATGCACTTATCAATTGATATTTTATTTGCAACTATTTACATTATTGAACAATTGTAATTAAACAATCTGTTAAAGAGCTGTTGATTGTACTTTCCACTCATTTCTGAAAAGAATGGGAGAAGCACTTTTTCTGTGTCACATCTTACCCCACTCGCATCCCCCTTCTTTCAAAATTTCCTCTATGCTCTCACATATCTATCTTTTGATCGTAATAGAAACGTGTAAACAGTCGCGACTCTTGCTTCCTCTAATGTATCAGGAGTTCCCATTATTTCGAAGCCATCTTCCATTTCAATATCCATTACATCGATAAAACCTGGCACTCTCGTCACCATTCTCGTATAAAAAGGGTGTGGAATAAAAAAGTGTAAATCGCACGGCAAAATATCATTTTCATGACTAGATAGATTTCCCTGCCTCTGCCTATTGTCAAGGGGTGGGGGCACACTCCACTCTCGTCATGAAAAGGTCGACTTTCTTGCTTTATGATACAAATTACAATTGAAACACAAATATATTAGAAATTTTTATGAAGAAATTTTAAGAACTCATTCTATATGTTTTCTTACATTACTTCAAACTCACCGTCTACGCAGACTTGTAATGCTATTGTAATTTTCGTCACATCAGAATATCTTATTTTTCTGAGTCTGGGAAAGGCATGCCTGGACAAGTGCTAGTGTGCTTCGAGAACGCACATGCTTTGTTAGACTCCCTTCAATAGGTCGACGTACGAATATAAAATATACATATGACCTACACTAACATGAGAAGGCATTGGCAAGATCTTCCAGCAGAAATCAGCACTTTTTTGGTGCTCACACAGAATTTTTGCATGTTAAATGTACTAATATAATACCCAAATCTATTTCCGTACTTTATTCATATTACATGCTTATTTTGTACAAAGATTTAAGCACTTAGAATTTTCCACTACTATAATGAGCAGCCATTTTCTATACTGACGTTTCGTTAAGTATCATCTGAGAGTGATTTAATTTATCATCGTATGCGATGAAAGCTACTCTCTTCAACTGGTAGATTAAACATGAGCACAAAATGCTATATGTTCTTCAAAAATTTGACATCAATTTCGAGATGATTCCTTCAAAAATCTACTTTGTCATCAAACACGTATTATATAAAAAGCTCGTAAATTATGCTTAACAAAATGTATATTACGGTAAAATCAGCCAGTCTCGTGACACATGGGTCTGGATCAGGTGGTTTCGAATCTTCCATAAGGCAAGGATGTTTTCATTTGTTTGTGGCGCGGCGGGGGAATACCTAAAATTTCATTTACTCTATTTTTTCGTTATCATTTGACCTACATATAAATATGTAGTATATGTAATGTTACAGACTCCAGTTGCTCGGAGGCCTACCTGTGGAGATCACAGGGGCGGTAGTTATCGCGAGAGTTCCTGGTAGGTTCCTTAGGCGACAACGGATGTTAGTCAGGAAGGTCGGAAATGTCATGAAGCCCAATTCACAAGAAAGGGGTAAACGACAGTCTGTCCATTTTTAGTAACACTAGCTACTTTTTCGTGTACTTCTACCCAGCGAAGGGACACTTATGTAATGCTGGAGGAAAAAGTGCTCAATTTTCGTCTGAAAATCCTCTGAAAAAGTAACCGTTGCCGTTTTTGTACACACATTGTATTCGAACAACACATTAGTCTTCCAGTCCATCCCTGATTCAGAGACATTGAATTGGGCCAGGTAGATTGTAAAATATTCACTTTTGGGGAAATCGTGTTTTAGGTGGTAGTGACACAAACAGCTGGGGGCAATATAGCCTTAATCCGCTTCAGTCGTACTACTAAAAATTGCTGTGTATCATTTTTGCTATAATCTTATTTTTTGTAAGATATTCATACAGTAACCTCGTATAATTTGTATACGGCTGTAAGTCCTTTACAATATCCAGTAATCTGATTCATGGTTTTTCCAAACTTTAAAATCTAATTATCTCAAAATAGAACCGATGTGGGTTAGAGTAGTATTGTCGTGAACGGTTCAATTGAAAAATCACTTCATTTAAATAGTTGTATCAGAAACACAATGAAACTTTTAACATAGAATATTTTCGTGGTCGTTATTTACCATCATAAATATATTGATAATTTGGAGGTGTGGAAATTGTTAATGTTCAGAAGCACAGCACATTTTCTTGTCTTTCGCTGAACTCATAAAGGAGATTGATGTGTGGATAAAACGTGGATAATGGATAAATGATAGGGTAAAACGCAGATGGTGACAGACCTCTTGCAGAATACTTTATCTTATTACATGAACAGTTTATGAGAGTACAATTGACTGACCTCCACCGTTATTTTTTTTGTGTTTTCAGCGGCAGTTCAACGCCGATGCCTTTTCTGTGTCGGGGGACCAGACGTACGTGCTGCTGGAGTCTAGCGAAAAGACGAAGGTGAGTAGTGAAAGCGGACGACGTGGGTAGGCGAGGTTTCCAATGCTGTTGCTGCCTAGAGGCCAGATTCAAATCCCGCTAAGAACGTGGATGTTTTCTTTTGCGTTTCTTCATGGAGGCTCTCGCAACCATCCTGTTTAACTTTTTAACCATCTTCAATTCTCCGCCGTCCTTGGTACTTGCGCCTAGTCACGCGTTACATTCGGGCTGTGGCTTCGACTCCCGCCTACGTCATGGATATTGTTTGTTGTAACGTTTTAGAACATTTGTCACTATCATATATCGCTTTCTAAACCCACTTCCTAATCATACCAGATATAGATACCCTCCTCCAAACCAACTATCTGTAACAAAGATGGATTTAAAGGATACCTCGGCAATATTTCAGGGGGGACCCTCCCAAAACATAGTGACGAACGCCTAAGAATGGAAAGAGATGTTACTTGTGACGAAATGGCTAGAAAAACGCCCTTCAAATAATGAGTGCTACGAATTGTAAGAGTAATGTTGACAACATGAAGTGCTCCGCGTATTTGTAATCGCTTCGGGAAGTTTCGAACTAGGGTCTAAATTGAATCGATTATTTCAGAAACCCGTCAAACGCCAAAATATAAAACACGCATTAGCGGTTGTTGTTCCAAGAGGATAGACACATTGTTTCTCGCATATTTATATGAAAAATATTTATTAATCGACCGCTTTAATAAATAAAAAATATTTAAAATCAGAAAAATTGGGAGAGTTTTTCTCATTTTTTTTCGAAATGAGGAATTTGGCGTTTGACGGGTTTCTGAAATAAAAGATTCTATTATTTTGATTCCCCTCCTCAGGTCAGCTAACGTATGTCACTATCTTTAAACGAGAAGAATTGTATCACTTTTTTCGGAAAGCAACGTTGTTTTTAGATGTGAAAGTATGCACAACTCGTAAATTTTGACGCACTTAATTGTTAAATAGTAGCGTAGGCAATGAGTTAGAACCCAGATTCAGTTTCATTGCAGGCACCTAGTCGCAATAGTCTGAAATATGTCACCGTCTCTTCAGCTGTGTATAAAATCTCAATGAATTAGGTGATGGTTTTCTCAAACATCAACAATACTAGGTTAAATAAGACTTTTGGGATTGTGAATATTGTATAAGAGGTCGAGGTTGCCAAGGCGTGAGTACAGTTCGGCGGATCACAAGTTGGAGTCCACGTAAACATGGCTGTTTAGGCTTAGGGATTGTCCCAACCACGTTGCATCGCACGTCCCATATCCCTCGGTTCCTCCCGTTCGAGTAGATGGGACGCGTGGTGGCAAGCGACTGAGGCACGTGCGCGCTGCACCTCGAGCAAACCACGCTCTAACCATTCCTTCGGACTTAAGTGAGCCTGATTGCTACCAAGGGCGCAGGGTATGGACGTACTGGTGCAGTGCTGCCGTTCGGTACGGGAGAATTCCTTCCCGTTAATTCGTGGCTATGGGAGGTGGACAAGCTACGCAACTTACATGTGACACATATAGGCGTGACACATATAGATAAACGAGGCAGGCAGGTAACATCGACGTACAAATATCAAGCGAGTACTGGGAGGGACGTAGAATCTGGGTGGTTGACCAACCTCGGTCGAAAAGGGGTTGTTTAGAAGGAATAAACCACCTAAACAGTGATGCCTCTACTCATAGCGGTGGTAATTAAGGTATTGGCAGCCTCGGTTTGAAGGGTCGCGAGTTCGAATCTCGCGACGGACACGTGTATTCCGCTTTGTGATTCGTAGCAAGGTTGGATCGTTTCCAAATCATTTATTAATTACCTTACAAAATTCCCTTCAAAATTCCTGTTCACAAGATGGTGCATGAGATCGAATATTTGTCGCCATGCGAACATGTGGAAGATTCTCAGTCAGTGGCCACATTGCGCTATCTGTCCGCGTACGCTACAATACCTCCATGACTTATAAAAGTGTCCAAAAGTTTTTACTTGGCCTGCCGGGAGATGTTGCGTCCTGGGCACAGATCACAAATGTGCGGTGTGGTGGGATATACTCCACGGTCTATAAATAGCTAATATCCAAAACTGAAGGCTAGTAGAGTTGTTGAAAACCTAGGTGGGTAAAAGCAAATCCGATGATGAATAATAGCTACAGTTTCCGAAAAAACAAATCTCGGTGGGTATATGCCTATCGAGAGGTTTAAAAAATGATTAATGAAAAATAGCCAACCGTTCCTTAAAACCAGCATTTTACTGCCTCAAATAATCTCTAACTGCACTTTGAGTGAGGTTTACCCTCATAACCTTTCACCATTTGGCAGCGGAACGCCAGTTGACTAGGCTCTGTGCTACGAGTATTTGTCAATTTTCTCCAAACCAAAACGTTAGAATTATCACACGTCCTGCATATGCACTAAAAACATGAACCATTCCGAAAAGAATCAAACTTCAATCAAGAAAATCTGGTCTGAAAATGTAAATCGAAAAGTTGTTTTGATATATGAAATTGATACATCATTTTAATAAAGAAGTGAAGAATGTATCTATCACATGTTACAAATTTCTTACGCTTCAACCTCTATTTTGACATTACTGCAATTATTTAATTTATACATTACCGCAAATTATAGTATTAAGTGTTTTCACTAGAATTAAGTGTTGCAACTTACAGAATGATATTTTAATAGGAAAAGTTAAATCTTTTATTTCCTTTGATTCCTATTATCAGGTGTAAATCCTGAATGTTATTTCACCGTTCTGTCTGCTACTAAAACAAATTCTTCATCTCTTACCCGGTCCTACACCCAAAGTCCCATCTCAGAACTAGTACCCGCACTGGCCCTGACCTTGTGGTGCCTTTTTTCAGGTGTTCGCGCGCTCGTACGAGGCCCGGTACTTCGTGTGCGAAGTGCGAAGTCAGTGAGTAAATTGAAGCCGTGGCACACGACGGCCTTATTGTCTATTACATTGCTCTTTTTTCATGTGTGTGTGTGTATGTGTGTGTGTGTGTGTGTGTGTGTGTGTGATTGTGTGAAGTGAGAGAAGCGAATGCCAGATGTATGTGTGTGTGTGCAAAGATATCGTATGTGTTGCGAGAGGTATGTTGGGCTTTTTACGTCTGTAGGGTGTTCCTTTCTACGTTGGTAGGTCTATGGCTTGCGAAATAATTTTCGTGAAACCGTAAACGGAAACACAGTAAACAAATTTTTGCCATTCATAATTTATTATTATTTCTCGTAATTTCAGAATCAAAGTAACGATAATCATAATTAAAATAATAACACTGATTACATTAAATTAAAAATAAATACATTAAATAAATCAATTGATATTATGGAGAGGGATATCTGTATCAATCAAGCAGGGGTCAGAACTTGAGTGCAATACATTGATGCTCCGAAAAATATTCGAAATCAATCGTCGCTTAGCAAATTTTAAAAAAATGCGTTGCATGCAAAAACAAACCCGAAAAAATATCTCTGACTGTATCTGGGGCAGTTTTCGATCGGTGCTGATTGCACTCTTTAGTATGATGTCAAGTTCATTTCGGAGGGGTGTTATATATAAGTAATTATTGAAAGATCTCTCACGCCTGTAATATACACATTTCTAGGAATTTGTAAACAAGTTTTTACTTTTATTTAATATTCTTAAAATAACATATCAGTTCTAATACTAGGAAACCGAAAAATTAAGAAAATGTCACAAAAATATACTTTGGGCCGCGAAAAATGGCAGCTGGCAAGAGGATGGTGCACGTCAGAATAACTTGCCGAGATGAAAGGTAATAGAAAATTATTACGTAAAGTATGTGGTATTCTATACCACGACTAGTTATTTTCTACACAAACCACGTACTTTCAATAACGAATTACCCCAACGTGACTCTTTCCTCGCAATGTTTTGAGACTCCTGCTGTAAACAACGAACTTTCGTGCACACATGGGCGACGTTCTGTGAAATTTAGATGACTCAGGAAAGTAAAGTTATTCAAGGTATTATTGTCCGAAATATTAGCAACTCTTTTTAAGGCAAAGTGTGAGCTACGCAGCCGTAAACTAGTTTGTGAATGTCTGTGTTTTTATAAGGGTAACTTGCATTAACGTGGGGTTAAAAGAGATGACTGAGAAGTTTTCCAACTGTAATTTGCAGGGAGAGATGTCACTTGCAACTCCAGTTGAAAAGTGGCTGAAGTCTCTTCTTTTATGCCCCGTGAAATGTAATATGATGCAATAGTGTATTTTCAGTCCATTATAGACGTAATTTGAGTACTAATTTCATGGAAAATAATACAATTCATAGTATCCTATAGACATTATATAAAAATTATTTAAAAATTCTCACGACATCATTATTATTTTCCCTCCTTTTCACGGCTAAAGGTGTTAGAACTTAGCTGAATATAAAATCTACTCCAGGTTGAAACCAGCTTTCTAGAAAGCAGATCTGGGGACTGTCGGTCCCTCTATAATACTTCGCGTGAATGTGGCCTGTTCCAAAGCAATGTTTTGCATTTCCCAGTCTTTTGAAAGACTGGGAGTTTAACGAAATTATTACACAAATTTTTTGGAAAAATCCCAGAGATCCGACAACTATCAGGACGATCTGTACTTTGAGAATTGATATTCGGCTGATCTCGATTTCAAAACTTGTATTTAAGACTTTTCTCTGCCAGCTTGGTTACGACGTCTTGATCGCACTACACAGCAAGGTTTGTGGTGAATGTCACCGGTTTTGGGTGGTGGAGATTGGTTTCACACCCTGTCGTGTCTTTTCGTATTTGGTCTTTAGTAGAATTGGACACGCTGAGGCAATTTGATCAGTAGTTTCTACTTGTCCCTGGCAAACGCGACATTTATCATCTTGGGATATTTTGAGAACCGCTCCATCCTGATGTCGTAACTATTTGTATCTATTATATTTTTATTGTTCGAAGTTCAGGTTTCCATTCTCATAAATAACGTACCCTTCATAAAAGAAAACGTAAAAGTTCATCACATGATCTTTTCTTATTGAGTACAATAAAT